GGGAGGGGACCCAGAGGCAGCCGGGCGCTGGGTCCAGCGCTGTTGCCCCGTCTGACACTCACCCAGTGCCCGCGCTCAGCCACCGTCCTCCCCGCTTCGGCCCAGGCACAAGCGGGACATCACCTGCCTGCGCTCAGGAGAAAACTCAAAATAAAGGCTTTCCGCCAGACCCCTCTCCCCCCGGGGCCTGAAGCCCTGGCAAGAAAAAGGCCTTTACCCTCTTCTCAACCAGACTTTTGAAAAGCTGGAAACAGAAAATAAAGATGACCTTTAAATCTCACTCCAGGGAGGCTGCTCCTGTTATTTTACACGCGCACACACGTACACACGTACACACGTGCCTCTACAAATCCCGGGCCCAGACAAGCCCTGTGGAACCTGCTCTCCCCCTTAGCAGCCCCGGAGCGCACTGCTCCCCGCCCGTCACGCAGCCCCGCGGCCTCTCACGGCTGCGGGAAGTCCGCCAGGTAGACAGGCCGTCACCAAGGCACTATTTACCCCCTGCTGTTGGACCTTAAAATTGTTTCCACTTTTCCGCTGTGATAAATTGCACTGTAGTAAACACGCTGCACATAAATCTCCTTTTTGCCCCCTGACAAGCCCTCCGGAGGGTCCTGGCAGAAGCAGCTGTAACAGGAGGCATGAAGCCCGGAGGCACTTCCCGCGCCCAGCGAGGCCCCGCTCACCCGTCCGCCTGAGTAACGGCCTCCCCTCTGGCCCCATGAGCCTCGGTCCCCTCACCCAGGCCCTCGGTCCCGCAAACAGAGGCTGCGGAGCTCCAGGAGGATGCTCGCGTTCCACGCACCGGACCTGTGTGCCATCATGTCAGAGGCGTGTGGTCCCGGGACACTCCATGTTCTGTTCTGAGCACCGGTCCTGCATGTCCTCATGTTGGAGGCATGTGGTCTCAGGATTTGCGTTCTGCACACCTGGTACTGTATGTCATCATGTTGGAGGCGTGTGGTCCCATGACACTCTGTGTTCTGAGCACCTGATCCTGTGTGTCCTCATATTGGAGGTGTGTGCTCCTGGGACTCTCGTGTTCTGAGCACCGGTCCTGTGTGCCTTCATGTTGGAAGCTTGTCATCCCATGATGCTCTGTGTTCTGCACACCTGGTCCTATGTGCCTTCATGTTGGAGGCATGTGGTCCTGGGACTCTTACGTTCTGAGCACCGGTCCTGTGTGTCAGCATGTCAGAAGCGTGTGGTCCCAGGGTTAGGGCATGTCACCAGGTGCCATCCTTAGGGCTGCCCCTGACCCTCAGCGCCACCCCCATGAGGTGAGGGTGAGCTCTCACCTTTGGACCAGGAGGAGCCACCCAGCGGGGGGGAGGCGAGGAGGGCATTTGATGGGACGGGCAGGAGGCTTGGCGGTTGTCACTCCCGCTTCATCGCACAAGTATTCACTGGCCACCACAGTGTGTCCGCAGCAGTGAGCAAGGCGGACACGGTCCAGACCTGATGGAGCTCACGGTCCACAAACCCTTCTGCGGGGCAGGCCCTGCCAGGCACCGCGGGCAGGTCCCAGTGGGCGGCGGCCCCGTGGAGGGAAGGCTTGGCAGCTTGGAAAGATGCCCTCCCCCCTCCCGTGAGCCCCCGACCCCCAAGCTCACCACCGTCACGGTCTCGCTCACTCTCCCTGACACAAGTGCCCATGTTCCTCTCCATCTGCCCCTGTTGGCCTGGGGCCTCCCCTAGGGCAGGCCCTGCTCCTCCCGCCCTGCTCAGCGCCTGCCACATCCTGCGGCACATTTAGCCAAGGAAGACCCACCGTGAGCCCGGGGTGGTGTCAGCAGCTGAGGCCACAGAGAGGAAGAGAGCAGATCGGGAGTTTTGGGGAGAGAAAGATAAACAAAGAAGCACGTATTTGAAGGGATAGGTTTTAGGGCATCCGGCAGTGCAGAGGATGAAATGCTCGCAAGGTCAGGGAAGGGGCAGAATGCTCCCGGGCCTCGGGGAGAGAGCAGAGGGCACTGGAACAGAGAAGCAGCGTGAGCACAGGCAGGAGAGAGAGGGCCCGGGCGTGAGGTGTGGCGGGGCTGGAGGGCAGGAGGCCGGCAGGGGGACCTGCTGAAGAAGTCGGCCGACAGGCACAGGGTCAAGGCTGGCAAGGCGTTCGGCGCTGGTGGGCAGGACCCAAGAGCTTTGCTCTCGCACCTCAGGGTGGAAAAAACGCCACCCAGACATAAAAGGACCAAATGCGTGTGTGGGAGTCACT